GGGAGGGAGTGGTTGGGTTTATTTTGAAGGCAACGCTTCTGAAAGAAAATTGAAAACTCCTTCATTGAGTTTACTTTCTGTACTTAATTCCAGAGCAGCTCGGTTGTTGCTCAGCGTTGTCTCTCTATTTCAATAGGGTGTTAATCCAATAATGAAAAAAAATAAGAACCAGCTAAGTCAAGATACAATCGAATTTTGTGTTTTTAATACTCTGGCTATCAGTCCCCAGTGATTGCTGAGTACTCTTCAAAGAAGAGAAAGAGCATTGATTCTATTTGTTCCCATGAACTGCAGTTTCTTAATAATATCAGGTGAAGATTTATTTTCTAAGGATCAAACCAAATCAAGCAGGGCAAAACCTTTAATTCAGAGAGTCCCTCTCCCCCGTTTGCAGTATGCTGCCTTATTTCAGAGCAACATTGTGCAACTATTTCTGCAAAGGGACTTGCACCGCAGACTTCGTGGGAACCAGCACGCCTGGCTGGCTGACTGACAGTAAATACGTTTTTCCGGCAAATTTTTATTTCCCTGGGAATCTATGACATTTAGCAAGCATAACAAGAAACTAATAGATATTATAGATCGTTTCTTCCTGGGTTTTTCCCCGACAGCCATTCAAGTGCAAAATATAATTGTTAAGGCTATGAAAATAGATCCATAAACTTAACAGCACTGGACTCCTCATTAAAACTACCCTGCTTGTTTTCTATACAATCCTGGAGTCTCACGCTCTCCGCTGTTACTAGGCACTTGGCTGTGACCCGGTTGATGTAATAATTAGGAACTGACTTGTTATAACTGAAAAGACAGCTCTGATGTCAGTGGGACTTACAAACACTGTGTCACACCGGTTTATTATTTTTACTACATTTACTCATAATGTAAAAATAGCAGCCAGTCTATTCTTTCTTTGGGAGTTTATTCAGGTCCAACGCAGCTATAATAGGCTCTTCTTTGAGAGCTGGCGATGAAGCATGAGAGATAGCTTCTCTTTTCTGAACTCATTCATCTCCATCAGCAATCTTTCAACCAAAGAGGGGGGAAAGGGAGATGGTAGCACAGCAATGTGAAGCCCCCAAACATGGATCAATGCGTCTGTTAACCTGGAGTTTCTGAGCTTTAGTAACTGAGCTTTATAAGAAAGCAAATACTGAACATGCTATTAGCTAAATTGTGGAAGAAAAGTTGGGGAATCAAATAGAAAGGGAATTACCCAGAGCTAAATTTCTGTTCTGGATATGTGCCTCCCACCTTCTCTTATGAGATCTCCCTCTTGGGTCTAATGCTGAGAGAGGGTTTGACTTTTTTTTTTCTTTAGTTCTTTGTCATTTTGTTTTGTAATTACTTAAGATTTTTATAGCTCTACTGGAACGACGACAAAATTGCAGAAATGTTGCTCTAACCTGAAATGAATACTGGGAAGGTCACTGCTCTTTGTATTAGGTGAACCTTAAATGTTATTAGGACTTTAAATTGTTTTTTATTAAATGTTATTGTTCAGATAAATCATATGTAGGGATGCTGGACAATGTATCTGTCTCCCCAGCTGTCTTATTTATTTGCTTATCTTTTTAAGACTATCAATTTGTCTGTCTGTCCCTGCTCTGTGTCTGCATATTCTCTGTCTTCTGATGACCTATAGCTGCTTCTTGATATTATTTGAAGACCATTAGAGCTCTTGTTGTCCAGCTGCTGTTACAAACCAGATACCTTAAATGGGGCAGCACTCCTTCCCATCTCCCAAACAGCAGAAGAGCCATAAGCATCATACTATGGATTTCTTTTTATTAAAGTTGTATATCTCCCTTTTACAAAAACCTGGCTTGTGGCTCAGTAAGCCTGGCTTGTTGCTCCAGCTGCCACCCCCCCTTGCTCCCAGCTAATTTGTCTTTCAATTCGTTACAGGTGCAGCCTGCTAATGAACTCCCCCTTTGCCCTGACCATGAAAGGGAGAGGAGACCTCAGGTAGCAGCATGGCTTGCAGCTGAAGGCTTGGGGACCTTGACGCTCAGTTGCCAAAAGGCAGAGGCAGACAGAAATCCTCGCCTGCAGATGCCTCGCCACCGCTGCAAGACGCAGAGGGAGAAGCAGCAAGGCCAGCAATACTCCTGTCAAGCCACTGACCACCCAGCGTCCTGCTGGGACCGCCCCGGATCTTGCCACCCAACGTGTTTATGTTGACGCAACCATCCTTTGGGAGAAAGGAATTTTAGCTCCAAAGAATCTCTCTTGTCAGAGTTGTACTGATGACCAGATGCTATATTTATTTTATGTATTAATGTTCAAAAGCCCCAATAATTATTTAAGGCAGACCACGATTTGAGACACCTTCCACAGCGACGCGTTTGTGGCAGACAAGAAGGTTGAGGAAAACCTGATCCAGCATCATCTCACGGCCTCTCCAATTTACTCCTATCAAATTTCATCAGCAACTCAGAACTTGATCTTTCTATTGATTGACTGGAGTCACCTCTAGATATTTTCATGCTGATTTGGAAGCCCTTTCATACAATAAAAGGGGGGGGAAAATGAGGTTAAGGAAGACTTTTGACCACTGATCAGCAACTCCGGCCAAAACTTTCCCAATCAAGTGATTTGCAAAGTTGGATTCTGTGCTGAGAGAAACTTTCCAAACACAGCGTGCAGAGCGGGATCATTCCTGTTATCGTCTGGACCGCCTTAGACTGGATCATTTTTAGATGCGGAGTTTCCATGCTGATCCCAAGAGCAACCCCTAGCCCAGTAGCTGCCTTCCTCGGATCTCTCGGCACTGCCCTCGCCCAGGGATCCCGCACTTGGCCGCAGCTGCCATGCTCTACCTGGTTGCTCTCCTCTTGCACTGTCTCCCCTTGGCCATGGGACAGTATGACATTTGCAAGTCCTGGGTGACCACGGACGATGGCCCGTCATGGGAGTTTTATGCTTGTCAACCCAAGGCCATGCGGATGAAGGATTATGTGACAGTACGGGTGGATCCGGCAGGAATCACTTGCGGGGACCCACCGGAGAGATTCTGCACCCATGTAAGTGTTTCCCTCCTTGTTTGCTGTGTTATAACAGACTCTGCTTGCAGGGGCCAGAGGCAGCATCCTGCCGAGATGCCGTTAGAAGGACATTTGGGTTCAGGGTGGCAATGGTGGTTGCTGCCTTGAGCTCTCGGTCTCCCCATCTGCAAAATGGGGAGAAGGTGTCCTGCCCATCCCGGTGCTGCGCAGACGAGAGGTCGGCCCTAGAGCAGGGATGGTGCTGCACGCTGAGGGCAGGGCGAGGAGGAGGCGGGGGGGTGGTAAGGTCTGGGTTTTGGAAAAGCTCTGCCCCCAGCGAGCACACAACCTGAACTGCTCTGAGCACAGCCCCCTGCTTGCTAAAGTGCGTGGGGTGTGTTCACCCGTCCCATCCCAAAAGGCTGCGGCAGCACCGGGGTTTTATCAGAGGTGGGCGATCGGCTCAGCCTGGGTGAGAGCGAGGGGCAGGGGCGGTGGAGGCCAGTGTGGCCCCGCACACCGGCAGCTCGGGCAGTCGGTCTGACAGCCACGAGTTCCACTGACATCCCTGAAAACACAGCTCTCCCTCTCTTCTAGCCTCCACATGAAAAGACTCTCTGGGCAGACACTTGCCCTTGTAGTTAAAATCTTTAACTTATTTTCTCTTAAATATTAATCATTGCATTTCATTCCAT